GGCAGGGCTGCACATCTGCTCAGTTTCATTGGCTGGAACCAGTCACGTGGCCCTAGGGTGGGCAGAGCTGGGAAATGTTGCGGAGCAACTGGGAAAATGGGGTAGGCTTGCTGTCCTGGCCACTTGGGACAAACGACTATTTTACCGTGACACATAAAATTCAAGATGGCGAATGCTTCGAGGTAACAGGAAACACAGGCAAATGCCAGCAAGTGGGAGTGATCTAGTTTTTGGTTTGAGCACTGAAGGTTAAAAAAAATGTTTTTTAATGAATGAATGGGTAGCTCTAGCAGCGGAAGAGGCGCGACCTGGTTTTCGGCTCGCTATGTCCGCGAACCATATGTCGGACCCACGCAGGCCCAATAAAGTGTTGAGGTACAAGCCCCCGCCAAGCGAGTGTAAGCCGGCCTTAGACGACCCCACGCCGGACTACATGAACCTGTTGGGAATGATCTTCAGCATGTGCGGTCTCATGCTAAAGCTGAAGGGGTGTGCTTGGGTTGCTGTCTACCGTTCCTTCATCAGCTTTGCCAACTCCCGGAGCTCGGAGGACACCAGGCAGATGATGAGTAGCTTCATGCTGTCCATCTCTGCAGTGGTGATGTCCTATCTGCAGAATCCGCAGCCCATGACGCCCCCCTGGTGATGTCAGCACGGAGGGGTGGCACCCTGGGCCCCTCTGTCCACCTCCTCCCTGGCCTGGCCTTTGGCTGCTGAACTTCCTACCATGGCTGCAGGGCTGGACTTTCCTGAATGGCTGCAGGGCCCCCAAGTGATGGAGGGAGGATGGCTCTTTCCCTGGAGTCCCACTTCTGCTGGGGCAAAGATGGGAAAACCTTAGGCTTCCCTACCCTGCCTGCTGCTGGGGAAGAGGCTGCTCACGTTTCTAGGTATATCTACTTGTTTTTTTGTGGAAACCAGTTAATAATAAAGTTTTTCACGCTGAAAAAAAAAAAAAGAATGAATGGGTAGATGGGGCCGGGGATATAGCTCAGCAGCACAAGTGTCTGCCAGGCAAGTGGAAGGTCCTGAGTTTGATTCCTAGTACCAAAGAAAGAAAGAATGGGTAGATGGATGAATAAATTAAAGAGAGGTACAAGCCGGGCATGGTGGCTCATGCCTGTAATCCCAGCACTCGGGAGGCTGAGGCAGGAGGATCTTTGCGAGTTCGAGGCCAGCCTGGGCTACAAAGTGAGCTCAAGGTCAGCCTGAGCTGCATAGCGAGACGGTGTCTCAAAAAGACAAAAAAAAAAAAAAAAGAAAGAAAGAAAGTAAAGAGAGGTACAGAAGCCTGCAGGCCCCAAATAGCCCTCCCATAAATATACACGGAGCTCAGGGCTGAGGCTACATACCACTCACCCCTTCCAGGCTCCCAGCCCAGAGGGCTCAGTCCGCACACGAACCAGACAGACCAGCAAAGCCCCCAGGGTGCTCCGTAGAGGCCTCGTCTCTGAGGGTGACGAAGGGTGGGTCGTGAAGGAGGTAAAGGAGTTCAGCAGACCTCTCAGAAACACAGTGGGCCTGTGGCCGCCAAGCATGATTACAACTGAGGCTCTCGTCAGGACGTGGTCTCAGATGAGGCTCCAGCTGGAGACCAGCATCCCCTGCCACAGGCTCGCCGCCCAGCTGCACATCCAGGTGACCGCCGGAGCAGAGCTGTGAAGACCCAGCCCCCAAGCTCCCATCCCAGCTCCGCAGCTCTGCACAGGGTCCCTGTGGGCCTCCACAGGAGGAGCCCAGCTCCTCTGGGCCCAGCTCACTTCCCTTACTGGGCAGGTACGGACGGCAATGCGCTGCACCCCAGTAACCCTCCTCACCCCAATCTCCACTTCACGGTGCTCTGGGAAACACAGCAGATGCCCCTGGCTGTTTAAGTGATTGTAAATTTCTCAGAATGCTCCTCCCAAGCGTGTTTACACACCAGTTTCTGTGTGCTAGGCTAAGCCCCTGGCTTACATGACACTCCTCGTACGGGGTTTGCAGCCAGGGCCTTCCCCCTTTACATCCCTGGCCCTTTTGTTTTTTCAGGTTTTTTTTGGGGGGGTGGTATGGGGAATTGAACTCAGGACCTTGTGCTTGCCAGGCAGGTGCTTGTGGCACTGAGCTACATCCCTGACCCTGTACCTTTTATTTTTAATCTGGAATCAGGGTCTTGCTAAATTGCTAAATTGCCTAGGCTGAGCTTGAACTTGTAATCCTCCTGCCTCAGCCTCCCCGGATACTGGAAATACAAGTACGTGCCACCGTGGCCAGCTATTATATGAGCGTACTTAATGTAGAATAGAGAACTTCACAGAAGTCATCAATTTCCAAAGGTGACATTTTAAGCCTTCGTGGTAGCCTTGGGAGGCTGGACTTCGTGACATGAATTCTGTCACCGGTTCCTCTGTGACAATATCACCAGCTAGGTCCCCGAGCTCATCTACATTTCTCAGTCCCCTCCTGCTGCAGTTAGAGCTCGGGGCCTCCCAAACTGGTTACTTTAAAAAAGGAAAAAAAAAAAAAAAAGCCAGCAGGACTTCTCGAGCTCGGTAGCGTGTTTCTGTTCCCTCTTTGCTCTGAGGGTCTCACTTCTCGGGAGCCTGCGTGGCGGTGAATTCCTGTGAAAGATGACTGTCACCGTCCGGGAGTCCCCAGTCCTTTTCTAAGAAGCGGTGACATTGTTCCCATACTTCCTGTCCCTTCCTGGGTAGCTCCTGCGGCCGCCACCGGCCTCCTTCACATCCTTATTCAGGCCTGGGCTTCCCTCCCCTTTTTAAGGTCACTTCCCCCAGTCTGGGGCAGGAGCAGGTCGGGACCTGCTATCCCCAGGCTGAGCCTCCCTCTGTCCCTGGACAGGGTCCGAGGAGGTCCCCCCCAAGAGGAGGTGGGACCTCAACTTCCACCATCCACGGGTAGGTTGCAGATTTCGGAGATCCGCGCGAAACTTAGTAGGGCCTCGCCTGAGGGGGCGGGGCTGGGGCTCAGGCAGGGCGCAGGCGCACAGCGCGGCCCCTAACAGGTTTTTTTGCACTTCAAGAACCTCAGGGGTTGAGCTTCCTGGAGAGGGGGCGGTTGGTGCGGGAGGGGCTTCATCACCTCGGGTAACTTTGTGTGCTGAAGCTGCAGTTTTTCCTGAAAGTACAGTTTTTAAATCAGGATTTTCTTTATCTCCTTTTCACCTGTCTTTCCTTCTACCTCGAGCCGGGGCCGCCTACGTTCTGGGGGCCGCACACGGGCACCGGCTGTGGTAGCGGTGAGCTAAAAGCTATTTTTTAAAAATATTTTTATTTTGATTGATTGATTGATTGATTGATTGATTGATCTTTTTGAGACAGAGTCTCGCTATGTTGTTCAGACTGGCCTTGAGCTCACTTTGTAACCCAGGCTGGTCTCGAGCTCGCAATGATCCTCCTGCCTCAGCTTCCTGAGTGCTGGGATTACAGGCCTGAGCCACCACGCCCGGCCTTAAAAGCTATTTTTAAAAAACTACTTCCTAACGTCAACAACAACAAAAATTGTTTTATTGTGAAGCTCAGCACCACAAAACTTTAAGTAATTCACCACAAACCTTCATTGAGAACCTTCTCCCCCAGGGTAAACAGACAGACAGTGGCAAGTCTATTTAGGCCTCCGAAAGCCCAGGGGCTTGGGGGCAGGGGAGGCTGCGCCCGCCCGTCCTCCGCGGAACGGTGACAGCCAACCCTTCACAGGGCATGGTGTGGGGAGGAGGCGGACACAGGGCTGGGGGTGGGCAAGCCCAGCGACCAGGCGGAGGGTCCCGAGGCTGCGCCCGGACTCCCCGGAGCTCCTCCTCCTGCAGGACAGGCGAGGAAAGGAGTGCAGAAGGCCGGAGCTCCTGAGGTCAGCAAACATAGAGGAAGGCTGGGCATGTCCGGGCAGAGACTTCCAAGCACTCAAAAGCCCGAGATGTGCAGTCCTAGCTGCTCACAGCTGAGATTCTATTTTTTAGTGGGATTTCTGTTCTGATGAGCAATCCACTGTTTAGTTTTTTAAAAGCAAAACTGCAGATGTTTCAGGTGAAGGCAGGAGGCAAAAGATGAGGGGTGAAGGCCTCTAAAGGAGCAACTGGGTCCCTCATTACTGTATCCTTTTTTTCTTTTTGAGACCAAGTCTCACTATACAGTTCATGCTGGCCTTGAACTCACTCTGTAGCCCAGGCTGGGCTCGAACTCATGGCAATCCTCCTGCCTCAGCCTCCTGGGTGTTGAGATCACAGGTGTGCACCACTCTGCCCAGCTCGTGTCTGTATCTTTCTTTCTTTCTTTTTCTTTTTTTGTCTGTTTGAGACAAGGTCTCGCTATGCAGTTCAGGCTGGCCTAGAGCTCACTTTGTAGCCCAGGCTGGCCTCAAACTCGAAATGATCCTCCTGCCTCAGCCTCCCCAGTGCTGGGATTACAGGCATGTGCCACCATGCCCAGCCCTTGTGTCTATATCTTTCAGAAGCATTATCAGACACTTCCAGAACTGTCCCTTATCAGTGTCATCTCAGTAAAGGGACTGGGACTCCGTAAAGGGACTCGGAGGCATTTTCCTCATTCGATGTCCTCAGAAACACAAGGCGGCAAGCTGAGGGCTCTGTCACAATGCAAAAGGCCACCTGTGGCCATTTATTTGCTTTGTGAGCAGAGCCGGGTCACTGGACTGCGAGCCTCAGTTTCCGCTGTGAAGAACATCCGAGAGATGTTCTGCATGGTCCCCTGTCCCTGCAGTCCATCAATGGGTTCAGCCACAGGCTAGAAACCCTGCCCCAGATCAGAGCCGGTCAGTGTGGGCCTTCGGAGGGGCTTGTCCTCCCAATGCTGTCCCCTTCTGAGGACTGCCGGCCCCGATCGTGGCCCCGCTGGTGGGCACATGTGTCCGTGACCCGCACAGAGACCGGCGACAGGGCTGGAGCGAGGACGGGCAGCAGCCGGCCAGACCCGCCTACCTGCCCGCCCGCGGACCGCCCACCGCTCGGGGCGGGGCCGCGCTTACAGCCCGGCGTTTATAACCCTGCGCCGGGGCCAGCGCCCGCAGAGGTGCAGCAGCTGCCCAGCCTGCCGTCTGTTCCGGGAGCGGGAGACAGAGCGCGTAGGTCGGGGATCGGACCGGGCGCGGAGCTGCGGGGACGCCGAGACGCGAGAGGAGGTGAGGCAGCGCGAAGGGGCCCGTGTGTCCGCGAGTGCCCGTGGGCTGCTTGTCCTCGGCGCGCGCTGGCCTCGCAGGTGCTTCCGCGGGAGGTGACAGCGTGGGTCTGGCCGCGCAGCGTTTGTGGTCGCGCACATCGGGACCCGAGGGCGTGGCGCGGGTTGGGCCGCGTCGAGGACTGTCACGGAGAGCGGGACTTGGAGCCCGGGACGCCGGCCGCCCTCGAGGGGGTGTCCCCGGGAGGGGCGGGACGCGGACTGGAGCGAGCTGGCCGGAGAGCCGATCGGGCGGCGCTGGGGTCCGCTGGGGCTGCTCTGTCCCGGCGCCCGCGGCCCAGGTCCTTACACCGCTCGCGTCCCCGCCCCGCGGGGCGCGGAGGTCAGCGCGGGCTGTCCCTGGATCCGGGGAACGTGCCAGGACATGTCCCCGAGGACGCGCGAGGAGGTGACTCACGATGACAGAGACCCCGGGGGGACGGGCAGTGAGATCACAACCCCGCCCGGGCGGGGGCAGCGGCCCCCACAGTCCCCTTCCCGCCCGCGCCGTCCTGTCCTGCCGTCAGCACGGTGACCTATTTGGCCGGCACAGGCTGTTCCCAGGGAGGCGGGACAGCAGGAGGGCTCCGGTGTCCGGCGCGCCCTCGGGGGGCTGGGCGGGCCTCGCCCGTCGGGGGCGGGGGTCCCCGGG